CGATCACAAAATTTAAGGAATATTTCACAAACGGATTTTTTCCAAAGAGACCAAACCATGACTTCGATGAAGTACGTTTTGACCATATCGAATTATATATTCCCTCTGTAGTCATATGGCTGAGGTATAAAAATCCATGGGTTATGCTACTTCGTATCGGTAAACAAATGCATAACAAGCGGAGAGAGATGAAAATGTTTATAAGTGCGATTGTAAGATTCAGAAGAAATGCCAAACGAATTTTAATTTAATTATGTGGTTCCTCTTCTATTAAACTTATTATCTCGACAAATGGGGAAACAAGTTTTTTTTTGTCATAGGAGTTGTTTAAATAACATCTGGGAAGAATATCCCTAGACAAAAAACAAGGGAACTAATGTGCATTGGTGGCTCTTTCCGAAACCTATGTTTTCTCTGCACCCTAGTAAACATTACCATCTTTCTCCACTAAAATTACGATCTTTCTCCACTAATGCCCGTCCGTCCGTTCGTGTATTTTTGTAAACAAAATACAGATCGAATAAAGATGTAATTTTGCACAAATCATTCGTTTGGCCCAAGGACGAACCCTATTAAAATTGGTGAGAATCGGTTCAAATTTAGATATGGCTCTTAAATATGTCTTCAACCGATTTCTGCTTAATTCTGCACCACAAGGTAACATAAAATCGCCCCGGTTGACTATTGGGCTTTATTTATTGGTCTTAACATTTTCTTCCTTGCTCATGTTTATGGAAAAAAGAAATCTGTACATTTTTCACCTTTGGACTTGCCGAAGTAATTTCGACCATGGTCACACAATGACAATTATTTCCACATTTCGTATTTCCTATATTTTATTTTTAATTGCACAGATAACGTCAATGAAAACGGATAAACATATCTAATATGAAAAATTTATTTAAATTTATTATTGCAAATGCATTTCATGCGTTCAATTAACAGCAAGAAAAGCACTCACCATTAAGGCTTTCTAAAACAACTCAGAAACACACACTATTCTTGTACTAATTTATTAATGTCATAAACACCGTCAGAAACATGTTAATTCGAAAAACTACTAATATTTTGATTAGCAAATACGACAATAAAAACACTATTTATGATGAAATATTTGTAAGCATGTTTGCAGTAATTCTAATTTGCGGCGGGGTATTAAATAAAAAAAAAAATCAGTTGAGTGAATTATAATTATGTCTGTCATTCGACTTGTTTTCTTCGCGCACTTATTAGGCACATGTTGGGTGAAATTTATGGAATGTGTGTTTTGTTGCCATTATTAATTCCATAAAACTAATAAAAATAAATAATAAATACGATATAAATTAAATTGGATTAAACTTGAGGTAAGAATTATTTTTACATGGACATTTTAGAATTATGGTGGAATTTTTACTATTTTAGAATTAATTAAGCTAACCTCGAGCTTAATTAATTTAACAAATGTAAATGTTGAATGGAGGTCGAATATATCCAAGAACTATAAATTGTTATGGTGTTATCTCTTTACAAAGCACAAAAGCCGTTAACAATTCTTAAAAGAGAAACCTAATTTTTATCAGGATGTACTAAAAAACCAAAAAGGAAAGATCAAATATATGATACCCTGCACCACTATGCGTATTAAGTTGAGATCCTGCAACAAAAAAGTTTATATTGGGAATTTATGTGAAGTAGATCATACCAACTTTGAACCTTATTTACATGCCTATAATGGCTTTAGAGTAGCCACAATTTGGGAATTATATCCAACTCTGTATAGATATTCAGCATGCTATGACTTCGAAAGGGACTATATTAGAAAATATTTATTGGAGCAATAGATATACAGGACCGAGTTTCACCAAATGGACAAATTTGGTTGAATATGAAAAAATCTATCCAATTTGGACTGATATTAGATATATGGTGGACAATAATCGTAAAATCGGATGAAGTATATCGAAGGTACATAAAAATCTGAACCGATCTCGATAAAATTTGGCAGTGGTATTTTCTTTGTATTTGATGTCCAGTACCAAATATCCTTGTTGTGGAGTGCATATTACGGGTGAGATGAAAAAACTGCAACAAAGTCTAACGCCATAATTTTTACATTTTTTTTTAAATTTTATTGAATGAAAGCAAAAAATGTCGGAAATAGCATAAATTTTTAGAATAATTATAGATTTGTTCGAATTGGTCACCTTTGGCACGAATTATGGCCTTCAAACGACCAACGAAACCGTTACACGCTGCCCAACCTTGCTTTCCAAAATACTCCAGACACAATAGTCCAACGGATTGGTATCCGGAGATTTTGGTGGGCATTGTGCGCTGGAAATGAAGCGAAGAACCTCATTTTATAACCATTGTTGGGTGGGGCGTGCTAAGTGCGATGGTGCTGAGTCCTGTTGGAATGTCGAAGGTCAGCGGCCAAAATGTTTGCGTGCCCTAGGATTTAATACATCCTCAAGAACATTTTCCCGAAAATATTCGGCATTTATTCTGATGTCACGGTCGATTAATGCAATCGGAGAGCGACTATCGGCTGTATTGGCGGCCCACACCATCACCATGGTCGGTGCTTGAGTTCTGGTGGCCAACCGAAGGTGCACATTTTCAGCTGGCCTCTTTAGCAAGTAAACACGATCATTTTGTTCACCACTTTTGGCAGTTCACCACTTTCGGCCAAGCGAAACAACTATTTAGCTCTTTTTAGTCTATTCTTTCTTTCTGTGGCGGTGTAAATTCTTGCACTTTTTGGAATTTCAATGGCTTTACCCCGAGCTCATTTTTAAATATTTGCGAATATTGCGATATGTTCAGCTCACGAGCCAATTTTCGGTCACAGAGTTATTCACATTTAAATGCGGGAGTGCTCTAACGATAGCCACTTGTGGTTTTGCAGCCAAATATAAAGAAATCACACTATCACGCTTGAATTCCATTACGAATAACTGGTACATTCTATAAAATGAGCTGTCGCTGGAATAATTTTAACAGCTGTCGGACGAGTGGATTAGAAATGACAGCAGTCTGAAGTTGGTTGTAGTTTTTTTATCTCACCCTGTATATGGGAGCTATCTATAGGGGAGGTACATCCGACCGACTTCAAATTTGTTTGGCAATTGCTACTAGACTGAATTCGGTGGGATGTGCCAAAATTTAGGTCATTTGGGCTGATATTAGCCATTTGGAGCACATTTAATCTGAAATCGGTTGAAGGTATATATGGGAGCTATGTCTAAATTGGAACCGATTCTCACCAATTTCAAAAGAGTTCGTCCTTGGGCTAAACAAATATTGCTTATAAAATTTCATCTCAATCGGATAATAATTGCGACCTGCAGTTTGTTTATAAAAATACATGGACAGATCAACTCAGAAAGTGATTCCATGAAGATCCTGAAAAGTAACTAAGGGTCTATCTCGCTTCCTTCTCTATGTTACCAACAAATGCACAAAGACATAATACCCCTTCCACTATGTGGTGTAAAGTATAATTATTTTCAATAAAAAATTGAAAAAGCTGTACTGACCCTGATTTTTAGTCAAACAATATTTTTTATTGAAGCCACCAAATATAGTCAAGAGATCCTTGATTTAAAAAAAATTTGGTTATTTTATGTTTGAAACATTAGAATGTTCAAAATTGGACCAACTCGGATACCACGCTCACATTATAAGATATTAATATCTTAATTGAGTTGCAGTATTTCAAAATTTTTATTGTAACAAAAAATCAATTTCCTTTGTAACACCAACCAAAATTTATTACGACTGCAGGTTTAAAAATCTGATATCTCTGCTTGTCTAACGTCTATTGTAAACACCTCATAAATGACAAATGTTTTGATTATTTACGACGAGATGATAAGTGCACAAAGTTACATTTTCTGTTGTAAATATTTGTGACACCTGCATATTTTATACGATTACTGAAAATCGGAAATGCTAATGACATTTACATGACGAGTAAATTAATTATGCTATAAGTTATTGGCGAAAAGATAAATCGCATATCAATTTGCTAAGAGGGCTATTCAATAAATTGTATTCGCTAATTACATCACTTAAATCCTGTTTTCTTTATGAAGTTAATTACCTGGATTACCTTCACAGCTGATTTTTTTGGAATTATAGAATGGAATGGGTTCATATTTACCTATATGTATGAACAATTCTAAAACAACAATTCCTTGAATGATGTCATAGCTTTCAATTCGGAAATTAGCAATATTGCAATTTTAAGGGGCGCGCTTTTAAATTAACCTTTAATTAGTGAGGTGATATATTTTATAACGTGATGGTAAATTTTACCGCACAAATTTTATAGTTAGTTAAAGGTTAAGAAACGCCTTCTCTGTACCGCTCTCTTTCAAGTAAGTCATTTGTTTATAGTTCCGTGCAACATGTGTGATGGTTTGTTTTTGAGAGAAAAGAGGGTATTAACAGCGGTGCTCAAGAAAAAATACATCTTTTCAGTCAAATTTCTCTTTGCTTATTTAAATCAATAAAAAAACAGTGTCAAGTCATTATTTATACCAATATTTTTTATCCATTTGCTTTATAAATTAATTTGGCAAACATTCGTGTCTAAAAACAATTTAATAGAACCGTAAAATATAAAGAAAAACAGAATTTTAATTTTCTCTTAAATTATCTCTTTTTTCTTGATATGGATGTCGAACAAACTGTTGAACCAAGCTGATCTATTATACAACTGTCTCAATTGTATTGGTAAGTGCATCAATACTTTGTATTCACAAAAAATTGAGATGCACTTTGCGATACACCCTCCAGGTGTTATCTCCATTTTCACTTAATAAGCAGATAATTTACAATATGTCTTTGTTTGCTTTATTTTTTCCAGATAAGAAATGTAAATATTTGTTTAATAGACACACTCTTTGTATAATTTTCACTATTTAACTTTTTTTTTCAAAAAGGCAGCAACAGCAGCAAAAACAAAAATCCCATTGCAATAAATTTAAATTAAAACTAAAAAACTGACTTACCTTATGAAATTCAACTTGAGCACCCTCAGCCACACCCTCCAATTCTCGAATGTATTGGGGGAATGAATTCTTAACCGTCTCCAGTGTTTCGTTGTATGCATTTTCTGTTGGGGGAAAAACGTGAGGGATGATGATGAGAGTAGTGAATTAATATCCGTTATGCAAATTACCATGTATTAATATTTATACTAAATATAGTCATAATTTTACTAATTACAGTAATTTTAGAAAAAAAAGGGAAATTTTCCAATTTATAATAAAAACAAGTAAAAAAGCTGAAAGTTCAGCCGGGCCGAACTTTAAATACCCTCCACCATTTGGTACAAATTTGGCAATTTCCAAAAAAAAAAAAAAAAAAAAAAAATAATAATAATAAAATCCGTTAAAAATTCTGTTAAAATCTTAAACATACCAAATGCTTATACCACGACGTGGACCTGCACAGGCAACTTTTGTCATAAGTTATTACAATATTTAAATGCGAAACTTGAAGAAAAATCTGTAAAACGGTATATGCGGGCTATATGAAGACGTGGACCTACATGGCTCATTTTTTGTCTTAGGATATAGTATCCATTACGAACTTCAAATACCAAATTTGAAACGATTCCGGTAAACAATGTCGCTAAAATCATCAAAATACCGAATTTCGGGGGGTACCGTTATATGGGGGCCACACGAAGACCTGCATAGATAATTTTCTGTCTTAGGCTGTAGTATCCATTACGAACTTCAAATGCCAAATTTGCAACAATTCCGGTGAATAATGTCGCTAAAATCATCGAAATACCGAATTTCGGGAGGTACCGTTATATGGGGGCTATATGATAACTTGGACCTACATGGCCCATTTACGTTACAAAATTTTTGCCTTCTATCTCAATTTGTTCGAAAGATAGCGTGATTACAACAGACAGTCAGACGGACATGTCTAAATCGTATTAGAATTTTACGCTGATCAAGAATATATATACTTTGTTGGGTCTGACATGAGTATTTCGAGGAGTTACAAACGGAATGACAAATTAATATACCCTACATAGTATGGTGGAGGGTATAATAAATTTTAATTGCTCACAGAGAAATGGTGGAAAGAAACAGCAGGGTTCCTTAATTTTTATACCCTCCACCTTGGAAAGGAGGGTATATTAACTTTGTCATTCCGTTTGTAACATCCTTAAATATTCGTCTTAGACCCCAGAAAGTATATATATTCATAATCAGCATAAAATTCTAAATCGATTTAACGATGTCTGTCTGTCTGTCTGTTGAAATCACGATACAGCCCACATTATTTGACTTAGAGCAGAGCAATTTGCATTGTGTCTATGATGGTGGGTATTGAAAATGAGATATATCGGTCCATGTTCTGGTATAGTCCCCATATAACGGTACCTCCCGTTATGATGATTTCTTTATGATGATTTATGTTTCTTTATGATGATTTATGCCACATTTTTTTACGGATTTGTCTAAAAATTGGTATTTGTAGGTCATGACGGGTCCCTGTGCGTGTGGCAAAACATTGCATGTATAGGTCCACGTTTTGGTATAGCCCCCATATAAAGGTACCTCCCGATATTCGGTAATTTGATGATTTTTGCCACATTTTTTGCACGGATTTGTCTAATAATTAGTATTTTTGGGTCATAATGGTTTACAGCTCCGGGGGCGAAACAATGCATGTATGGGCCCATGATTTGTTATAGCCCCCATATAACGGTACCTCCCGATATTCGATAATTTGATGATTTTTGCCACATTTTTTCACGGATTTATCTGAAAATTGGTATTTGTTGGTCATAATGGTTTCCAACTCCGGTGGCGAAACATTGCATGTATGGGTTCATGATTTGGTATAGCCCCCATATAACGGTACCTCTCGATATTCGGTAATTTGATGATTTTTGCCACATTTTTTTCACGGATTTGTCTGAAAATTGGTATTTGTTGGTCATAATGGGTTCCAACTCCGGTGGCGAAACATTGCATGCATGGGTTCATGATTTGATATAGCCCCCATATAACGGTACCTCCCTATATTCGGTATTTTGATGGTTTTTGCCACATTTTTTCACTGATTTGTCTAAAAATTGGAATTTGTGGGTCATAATGGGTCCTAGTTCGTGTGGCGAAACATTGTAATTATAGGTCTACGTTTCGGTGTAGCCCCCATATAACTGTACCTCCCGATATTCGGCATTTTAATGGTTTTTGCCACATTTCTTCTAATGTTTCTTTTACCCTTAGGTGGAGGGTATTAAAAGTTTGGCCCGGCCGAACTTAATGTTTTTTTACTTGTTTTCTTTTATTATTTAAAACATATACTTACTTCCCTTCTCGGTGGCATACAATGGCAAATAGACGTCATTCAAAGGGCCGGAGAGCAGTAAAAAGTTCTTTATCATTGAGGCAAATGTGCGACCCTGAAAAAAAATATTTGCTTGTTAATAAAATATTTCAAATGCTGCGAAAGAAAAACGTGACTGGACACCAAATAGATATCAGTTGATCACTAAAAAAGGACATTGGACGACAAAATGCTTGGTTATCAAATTAATTTACATTTTTTCTCAGTCAAAGTGAATGGTTGTTTTTGCTGAGATTTTTAAATTTGATACCTTTGCTGTAATAAATTAGTCACGACTTATTTCTTTACTTCTTTATTTGCTTTGACGGGTATTAGATTTCTTTGGCATTTTTAAATCTGACAATAACCTACCTAAGTGTAACATTATTTATATTTGATTTTTTTCAAAGTGCTGTTAAGTTATTATGGTGTTTTGTAAACTGTCACAGTGTTTTGGGCTCTAATGCTCAAGCATTTGCCAAGGGCGGTGGCTGCAAGGTAAAATAATGAAAGAGAAGTTCTTAGGAATATGTACTCATTATTGAGAATATGAGACATCAACACTAGCCCATTGTATTTCAGGTTAAAATTTTATTTTAGTGTCCTTTTATCGCCATTGCCAAAGATAAAGGATCCTCAATGTATAGTACATCATTTTCAATATATGGAGCTTTGAAATTTAAAACAGATAGAGGTTAACAAGTGGTTTGATAAATTCATACTGTGTGGGTATGAAAAAAACTTAAAGTTACTTAATATAATAGCGACGGCGATCCCAAACCCTATGAGACGAAATTACAAGGTTTTTTCTATGCACGAAATTAATTTCAGATAAATTGTAGAGGATTGAGCCATGTCTGCACGATTAATGTAGAAGTCATATTCATATTTTTATCAAACTTAGATCGAGTTCTGGTACCCTACCATCCCACAAATAGTTACTCTAATAAAAGGGTCTGCCTCAATTAAAACAAGTTAAAAAGCAGTAAGTTCGGCCGGGCCGAACTTTTAATACCCTCCACCATTTGCAACGAATTTGGAAATTTTCAAAAAATAAAATCCTTAAAAAATTCTGTTAAAATTTTAAAAATACCGAATATAGCCGTTATTTTGGGGTCTATACGACGTGGACATACATAGGCATTGTTTGTCATAAGCCATTACCATATTCAAATTCGAAACTTGAAATAAACGGTGAATAATGTAGGTAAAATCATCAAAATACCGAATATAGGGAGGTACCGTTATATGGGGGCTATATGAAGACCTGGACCCGCACAGACAAATTTCTGTCACAGACTGTAGTTCCCATAACGAACTTCAAATACCAATTTTAAAACAATTCCGGTGAATAATGTCGCTAAAATCATCAAAATACCGAATATAGGGAGGTACCGTTATATGGGGGCTATATGAAGACGTGGACCTGCACAGACAATTTTCTGTCTTAGGGTGTAGTATCCATTTTGAACTTCAAATACCAAATTTGAAACAATTCCCGTGAATAATGTCGCTAAAATCATCAAAATACCGAATATCGGGAGGTACCGTTATATGGGGGCTATACGAAGACGTGGACTTGCACGGATAATTTTCCGTCTTAGGGTGTAGTATCCATTTTGAACTTTCATTTTCAATTCATTCGAAAGATAGCGTGATTACAACAGACAGACAGACGGACAGACAGACGGACAGACAGACGGACATCGCTAAATCGACTTAGAATTTTACGCTGATCAAGAATATATATACTTTGTTGGGTCTGATATGAGTATTTCGAGGAGTTACAAACGGAATGACAAAGTTAATATACCCTCCATAGTATGGTGGAGGGTATAAAAATGATTTTGATTGGTTCAAATTTTCTGAATTCTAAGTGTTTTGGTAAGCTTGACCACCCGAAATGGCAAAATTATAGATATTTTTAGAGAATTTTGGTTGAAAATCAAACTTTTTGTCGTAGACAGTACAGTTTGAAATGTAGTAATAATTCTAAAAATAAAAAAATGTTTTTATACCCTCCCCAAACATAGAATGGAGGGTATATTAAGTTCGTCATTTCGTTTGTAACTCATCAAAATAAAAATTTTAGACCTGACAAGTATATCTATTCTTGATCAGCGGAAAATTCTAAGGAAGCTAAAATTTTGCACAGATCAGTTTTTTTTCTCCCGACAGGTCAAGTTCGAAGATGGATAATATCGGTACATATAGTATATATATCGTATAGCCCCATATAACGTATAGCCCCCTATATTCGGTATTTTGATAATTCAGACACATTTTTAATGGAATTGTCTGAAAATCCACACAAGGTGTTAAAAAATAGTACTTTACCACCTGGTAGAGAAATGTATATATAATTCCAGGATATCGTATAGCCCCACATTCGGTATTCGGTATTCGGTATTTTGAAGACTTTAGAGACATTTTTAATGGAATTATTTCAAATTTCGTATTTAAAATTTGTAATGAGTGCTAGAGCCTATGAAAAAACTTACTAATGCAAGTAAACTTCATTTTTTATCTTATAGCCCCCATATTACGATTTTCTTTTGAAATATCTTCAATATCCGATTGTATTTGCAAAGAAATAGTGCATCAGATAAAGGTTAGGAGTATCCTTTTCATGTATTTGTCATTTGGTCGGGAAGGGAACTTTAGAATTAAATGTATGAAAATCTTCATTAATTTTTAATCGCTAAATATTATGCGAAGGCTATTTCAGATTATAGGCTGCTGCCTTATAAACCCTAATCTCATACAAATTCCGGCTTCGATAGGACTATAATTGTGACTATTTTTACACAAATGTGTGTTTGGTCTGCAGAACCTTTGGTATTGAAAATCTGCTATATAGGTCTAGGTTTAGATCCCATACCTCCCAATATTCGGTATTTTGGTGATTACAGCAAAATTGTTTAAAATTTCGTAATGTGCACTACAGAAAACTGGCTATGCCGGTCCACGTCTTCATATTGCCCACATATAACAGTACCTCCCTATATTCTGTATTTTAATGATTTTAGCGATATTATTTACTGGAATTGTTCCTAATTTCGTATTTGCACTTCATGATGGGTACTACAGCCTGTGACAGAAAATTGCCTAGGCTGGTCTGGGTCTTAGTACAGCCCACATATAAGGGTACCTCCCTATATTCTGTATTCGGATGTTTTTGCGACATTATTCACCGGAATTGTTTCAAGTTTAGTATTTGAATATTGTAATGGCCTATGACAAAAATTGCCTATGCAGGTCCAGGTCTTCGTAAAGATTTGGTAAAGGTATTTCTGAGCTGTATTTGATATATTTAGGGCAAATTCAACATATCGGATGATAATGATGTATGGGAGCTATAGTTATATCTGAACCGATTTTAAATTTGACATACTGGTTTCTAGACTCAATTTGGCTAAGTTCCAAATTCCATTCCATTTGGGCAATATTACACGTTTGGTGCACAATAAAAGGTAAATCGGACGAAGATATATGTGGGAGCTATATCCAAATATTAACCGATCTCGATAAAATTTAGCAAGGGTGTTTCTGAGTTATATTTGATATATTTCCCCAAATATCGTTGTTACAGAGTGCATATGACGGCTGCGGAGGACAAAAATAACAAGTCGGATGAACAATATATATGGGAGCTATATCTACCGATTTCGATCAAATTTGGAATACTTATTTTCAGGTCCAATCGTATGTGCAAAATTCCATACTATTTGGGCTGATATTACAAGTTTGGTGCATAATATAAGGCAAATTGGACGAAAATATATATGGGAGCTATACCTAAATTTTGACCGGCTATCTCCAATTTCAATAGGGTTCGTCCTTGTGTCAAAGAAATTATTTGTGCAAAGTTTTATCTGAATTGAGCAATAAATGCGACCTGTACTTTGTTTACAAAAATACATGGGCAGACAGACAGACGGACGCACGGACATGCATAAATCGACTCAGAATGTGATTCTATGCGGATCATCAAAAGGAAGTATGGGTCTTTCTCGTTTACTTTTGCCTGTTACAAACAAATGCACTAAGACATAATACCCTTACCACCTTGTGGTGTAGGGTATAATAACCATTTGGTTAATATCCCCAGACAAAAAACAAGGGGAACTAATGAGGATTGGTAGCTATTTTCGAAACCATTGTATTCCTTGCCTTACCCCCTGTAAAACATTATCATTTTTAGCGCTAATAAATAAAATTGTTTTTTTTTTAACAAATGAGGTTAATTCTGGAAATTTTTGGAATAACAATATAAGTGCGGTATTTCGAAAAATATTACCTACTTTGTACCACTGTTAAGAGAGCTTTAGTCCACTTTGCATATTTGATCGTGTACCAAATACATCTGTTGGCATTTCTTTAAGCCGTGCGGTATGTTTTATGTCTGTAGTGGATTAAATAGCAATATTATTTTACATTTTTTGCTTTTTATTAAAAACATTTTGGCATTATTCCGACAACTTGTTACTAGTCATATGATGTATGTCGGTGTTATTTTACATTTTTCATTCAATTCCAAGTTCGTGATCAATTGCTGAGTCTTGTGTGCAGTTGTTTTTATAGATGTTTTCAATCGTCTGTCTGTCCGTTCGTCCGTCCGACCATTCGGTCAGTGATCGCTGTTGTGCGGACGTTTGTTTAATTTATTAAGTGTTTCTAAAAAAGTAAACATAAAAAATCATTTAAACACTCATTAAGTTCGCCGATAAGTTTATTAATGGCATGGGCGGCGGTGTTTCAATTGTTGTCTAATGAAACCATTGATGAATTATAAATATTTTTGCAAAATTTCGTTTAGAAGTTTTTTTTGTTGAAATTAAAATTTTAGAGAGTTTTTTTAGGAAACAAGAATTTAAAAGAAAGATTATTGATGAATTAAATTGGCTTTAATTTTTTAAGATCACATTAATCACCTGATATTTAATTGAGGGGAGAGGCAAAGACTACCTACTTCCGTTTTTTTCAATTTGTCCATTTTAATTGATTTAATATAAATTTAATTTTCAATTATTATTCTAATTATTTTTTTGGCAATATATACAACACTTTTTTATT